AAATTAAATGTTTAAATATTTTCAAAGCATAGCTTATAAGAAAGATCAAATTCATTCAAAAAAATTGAAACTTAAAAAAAAAAAATCGGGGAGATCATGTCTCTTGGTTTTCAACAATTACTACTCTGGTCCTCAATATAGAATTTAATTATTAAATTGATTTTGATCATAAATATAAACCTATTTCTCATATTTTTAATTTTTTTTTTAAATTATTCTTATGAATACTCCCTCAACCATATTAAGTAGAAGAGGGAGGGGTATATTAAGAAAGATAATTATGGTGTTTTAAGAAAAACATGTCATATTTGTTATAATTAATTAACTTACCTAACTTTGTTAATCTAATCAAATTAGTTAAATAAGTTTTATATTAAAGATCGGAAGATTAATATGCATCTCTTTTGGGGACGGAAAGAATATTAATGGCAGTGGTACATTTTTTTTAATTTAAAAAAGAAATAAAAAGAAAGACATTTTTATCTGTAAATTAGTGATATTGTTCAGTCCATTAATTTCTCTGGTTCGTTCAATTCTGTGTACTAAAAGACATTTAAATGATTTATTGACCAATGGATGATTACATTAATAGATGTCTTCATTGCCTTCCATTGTCAATGGTAAGTTACGAAGGCCTCTCCTTAGGGGGAATTTAGGTAATGATGACACTTAATCCAAATTAATTATAATTAGGGCTACAATTATATTCATTTTATTTAAAGCAGTTCAAGCAATTTGCTGTATGCCTATGTTAGTTTTATAGGCAAGATTAAGATTTAACAATTGTGATCATGGGCCTCTTTGTTTTTGATATAAGGATAAATTTTAGTTTTATAGGAAGATAATCGCGAAATTTGGTGAAACTTATCTCACTAAAAAACTTTTCTTTTGACAGAAAATTTTCACAAAATTTTCCTATGATTTTTTTATGATCGAAATAGCACCTATTTTTTTTATATGAGTCATGGTTGGCCATGCATGCATCACGCAGATTTTAAATAATAATAAAATTATCAATAATTCATTAAAAAATATGATTTGCTGGAATTTTATACCTCATTAAAAAAATAGAGTCACTTTTAAAACTTTATTTCGCATCAACGTACGATGTCTGCCACATCAAGCTTTGATATTGACTCACAGAGTATTATGTTTGAGAAGATACTCTCATTCTGAAAATTAAGTCTGGGGTTGGGAGAAGGATTCCAGCTTCATCATGGATTAGTGATCGCCCACGCATTTGCAATTTTTATTTTATTTCTTCACAACAGAAATCTTCAATCTGAATTTTTCTAATTGAATAATCTTCTCAATTTGTCCACTGGAGAAATTTTAACATTTCAAATTTAATAATTCATATTTTAGTTGTTAGCATGTTTTTTTTTTGTAAAAAGAATTAATAATTTTCTGGCCAAGAAAAGAAGAATAATTCATAGTTTAATGACTGTTTTCATTTTAGATTTTTCTTCATCGGAAAAAATATTTTTAAATAAAAAACAATCAAGATTTAGATGGCCTGTTTTTTCACAAATTTATCAATTTCTCAAAATTTCGATCCTTTTGACATAACTAAATTAGTTTGAGAAAAATATAAATAAATATAAGAGAAAGTAAGTTACTACCTCTGGTTATGATTATAAGATTTTGTTTATAGTCCACAAACGAGATCTTATAAATAGAATTGGGGGTAATATCTTATTCTTAATATCATATGCAACTATGTAACTAGATTCTATATTTCTTTATTAAGGATAGGAGGAATTACCGATTATTGGCCTTAATTCATATCCATATAAAATATGAATCCAATCTCCCAATTGGAACAAGTATAGTTAGTGGTTGGTAGGTATCATCATATTTGATGAAATGAAAAAAATATTTGATGGAATGAAAAAATAGTAAAAGGTGAAAAAGTCAGCATTTGTAATGATACCACTTTTTGAAGAGGAAAAGAAACATTTGTGGAGGAGAAACATATATACCACTAAGCCAGGAGCACACATGCAATCACACTATTATATACCTCTTGCTGGAAAAATTAAGTTTATTGTTCTGAGTTAAAATATGTGATTGTAGTTTAAAATTTTAAATCAACAAAAAGAGGCCCTTGCTGTCAGCAACTCAGCATATCAAAATTTATGTACAAAGCCCAATCTAAAATTTTTTAATGAAGTAATAATTATGTCAGAAGTCTGAAGTAATAATTTATTTGATTTTAACACGCGAACTTTTTTTTTTTAATGTCAAATCTTATAGAATAGTTTTTAAATTGAAGTTTTCTAATATAAATTTTTTAATCAGTTTTTCAGCCGTGTTAATTTAAATATTGTAAATTATCTCTACAAACAGAGGAAAATAAGTAAAAAAAGAGAATGGAGAAAAGAGGAAATAAAGTTGACCATACATTTTTTTTGGCCAAAAAAAAGTTTGACCGTACATTTTCACTTTTCACATGACTCTCATTAAAAAGAAATTTATTACCTCCATATTCTAAATTATTTAACTCCATTTTTTCCCCATTTTTTAACTTAATAGATGAGAGACCCAAATCTCCAATACATCTCTAGGGACGTGAAGTGTATATTTAATTTAAACAGTTTAGACTAAATTTGGATTATTCATGTTGGTTAGAAATCATGTTTTCTAAAATGAAAAATAAAAAATCGAGTTAAGAAAATTGCAAGCAATTCATATTTTGGTTTAAAATTTCATAAATATATACATATATGTATATCATCAACAGCTATTAATCCTAGTTAAAAAAAGTTGAGATGGCACAAAATTTTGAATTGTGTGAATACAAAAAATAATTTTCAGAAAGCCATCCTTAATTAGACCTGAATCTAATCCAATCGCATAGTCAACATTACATGGATATCCTATGAAATGTCTATCCTCAAAACAAATGTGACATGGAAGAAAAAGATTAAGAAGATGAGGTTTTTTTTTTTTCCCAAAGAAAAAATTTTTTTACGATAAGATTGGAGTACTTTGATGACAGGACAGCTTGCCAAAGGATGAACTGGATTTGGTCAATCCACACCACAACCACGAAGGCCTTTTCAGAGCTTAGTGACTAAAGTGTCGTGCGTTGACTCACACGCTCTACAGATAAGAACATGGGGATCCTGTCATGGGGGTTCTTCCAAATTTCAATTATTTTTTAAAAATAATTTTTAGGAGTCTCTGAATTGCTTGTGACTGGTTTATATTCTAGAGAGGATATTAATATATTATAAAAAAGATAGGGACCCCCATTAAAAAAAAAGAAGGAAAAGGATAGAGACAGATGAGATGAAGCTCACCAAGCCCAACCCCTTAAGCTCTCATTATAAACAAATCAACCGATTGCTTAAACTTCGTTCAATATATGAAAAACCCAACTAGTTGTTCGGTTTTTTAAGTATATATCTTTAATTTATAAAAGAAGGTATATTTTTTTCTGGGAGGGGGATTAGTAAATTAATAAAAACCAGGTGACCTGCACAAGAATGGCTTATTATTTTTTCAGGGAGAGAGGTCCATGCCAATACCAATGGAGGTATAATGAGTCTGGCAGAGGAACATGCAAATGACAGATACATATGCAGTCAATCAGAAGAGATGTGAATCATGAAGAGTATGGGTAACCCACACGGAACATAACAGAGTCCGTTTCCTTAAAAAGGTTTGACAGATTCAAGGTCTAGATGCAATCAACGTATCCCCCACCTGCCGCTTCATCAATTTTTCAGATTTTCTTCCACTTTGTTCTAAATAGTGTGACTCATTTTTTCAGACTCGGAGAATTCACAGATCCTCAATTGGAAAGATTTGTTTTTTTCACTTTAGAGGATTCATACTAATTATAATGGGAGAGGAAGGTGGTCTCAGTAAAAAGCGTTCCACCACAAGTGTCACAATCAGCAGTCCATGTGTATCCAATGGACTGGAACAGAGCAGCACGTCTGAATTTGAACTCTATAACCCCTTCCTCATTAATCATTACTCGCATATATACAATGCCTAGATGCTTACAATGCTAATGCTATAACACAGTAAGCTACAAAGACAAAATCAGTAGAAAATGTTGAAATAAATGGAGGCCAGTGAATCACCATCCACCCCCAATCAGTTGGTTTTCTCATTATATGGCTTGAATTGTTATATAGGCTATTGTGCTAGGAAAATCCAAGCAAAGAATCGGTCTATATAATATGGATATAAATTTGTTATGCATCCTGACTCTCTAACAAGCTACACTTCCATGCCAAGAGCCTTAGCTCTACTGGCAACCCACAACCCCTCTTATTGAGAAGGTTGTGGGTCCCCATGTGGTCACGGGGGGTGCCAATGTGTATTGAGTTGGGTATGTGAGTGGGTCCCATTCTATTGGGAGGGCTAGGATAGGTAGATTGGGGCGAAAAAAAAGCCACACTTTCATGGGTCACAACTAGTGCTCCTCATTTCTTCGTACAATGCAAGACACACACACACACACAACACTAGTTCAGCCACATTTTTAACACTGTTGATCAGCAAAATATTTAGGTACTGGTTATACTTTTCTTTTTTGATAAGAATTCGATGAATGAAAGTTTGATGAAAGTGCCGGTAACGAGGGTTGAGTAGACAATTATGAGAGAAGTTAGAGGAAGGCTAACAAATATACATATACAGAGTGGTTATTGATAATGAAGTACATACTTGTAATCAATCTCAATGGGATAATGTTTGTTGTCATTGTAATTTTACTTACATCTCAACTCTATATTAGGATAGCAAAAAATTTCTTCCACTTTTCCCAATTATTTTTAGAGAATATCAAGTAATAATCACGTACATAACTTTATTCACGATTTATTTGTGATTAAATATTGAAAAAAATGCCGAATCTAAATTTTAAGCTATTTGGTAATGAAAATCCTACTTAACTAATATGAGTAACTGCTCGTAGTTCTCCTGGAAAAACGAGAGAAGGTGCTGATAGTGACTGACACAACGTACCAAGAAATGTTGCATTTCATACGCGGCCCAATCAAACTAATACGTCTTTTATAAATAAAGTCAAAGCATTCACCAGTATGGGATAAGTTGCACAAGAAAATCAACAACCACGTCGTTCCTTGGTCCCTAAAATTTAACTTTACGGTAACTTAAGGTATCAAGTATTTTTCCTTTCTAAACATTGTGACAAATGACAGGATAAACAAATGAAACATCGAAAAGAATAATGGCTTTCAAAAAAGAATATCAACCAGGTCTTGCTAATCATACCTTCAAATATTCAGTCAGGAGGGGAAGATATTCCAATGTACTAAATTGGGCCGCGGATAGCCTACATGCAGTTTATCTGGATGAAACTATTTGTGAAACTAAAGGTTCAAGTTGTGTGTCCGTGCCCAAGCCAAAGAAGATTCTGTTAACTCCACAAGGAACTCAATTTGGATGCAAGTTTGGCACTCTTGTAGTCGTCCCTAAGCTGAATAAATCTGTATAGCAGAACACACAATTTTTATTGCTACAAGTGAATAGTGAACAACCAGGCAAGAACTTTCAAGAGAGAAGAAGATGAATAAGTTTCTAAAATTAATTTCAAAAATGCACACTCGTACGTTGTTTAAGAGAAGGACATTTTCCTTCAATTATGGTCAATGCAAACCGTATCGCTACTCGCTAGTGGCCTTTATATGGAACAAAAATAAAGCAATCTCAAAATTGAAATAGTAATAAATTAGAATATTAACCTTATGCTTGAATCATAAATAGAGGAATCAATAGATCCGATGTAACATACCTTTGTGCATCACTACTAGGTGTACCCTCAAACAAAGTTGCAAGGCTTTCGGGAGCAACAATGAAGACATTGGCCAATCTACAGAAGTTCAGAAATTAGTTGATGGGAAAGATGGGAGACGAGGAGGAAACGGCAGAGGTTTGACATTTTTGCATATAGCACGCAACTTACATGCCCAATAATTCAAATTTCTCATCAACAGAAGGAGCGTTAAAATTACGCAAGAATTCTCCATATTCAGTTATGTCACGCTTCAACCGCAACCCCCCACTACAAAGCATACAAGAATCAGAAAATCAGAAAGATGGTATATGACCTGTTGACTTGAATATAAAAAACATGAACTACTGTTAGCAGCTTAGCATAAGAATCGGGTACACATATCATGTAGAGAAGACCCCTATTCCACTATTTGAAGGAATATATGACTTGGAACAAATTACCTTGGATTAAAAGTAAATTTCTGCCAATGGTTTAGCAATGTCCTGTGCACCCGATTCCCCTAAAGTGACAAAAGCTATTATGCAATCAACGAAATTTGGAAAAATTTATAAAGATTTAGCATAACTACTGCATTCTATTAATATTCACCATTCTGATCCTCACGCCCATCACATTATACGTACAACAACATTAATTACTTAATGCAAGTAATACATGTAATAACTGAAGTGGTGCGTTATGAAAACATTTGGCGCATTTCTAGTTCTTCGGGTGATGCGTGTTGTGACTGTTAAGCCACAGACTGAATTGTCAGGAAAAATGAAGTCAGAATCTGAGTCAAAGACAATCCTAACCAATGACTCTACAATTAAGAGGTTTACTCAACCTGAGTCTATGACAAGCGAAACGAGTGAGAAAAACAACAAAGATTGTCATATCCAATCTGAGCTAATCAAAGAAGCTGTTGTCCACAAAGAGCAACTTAGGTCAATAGTACTTGTCTTAAGACGAGATTTAGATAAGGCCATACAATGATCAATCACGTTTCCATGAATGCAGGCACATATACTTTGGAGAAGCAGCCAGCAGTGAGAGCTGCATCCATTCAATCGAAGATATGGAATCATAAAAGCAAGGCTAATTCGGGCATCAGAAATAATATTGTACCAACTCAGTCAGGAATGCCTGTTTATTTTGACCTTCTAGAGCAGTAAATGCAGGCTCCAGCACACGAGAGAGATATGACACAACCCTGACCAAGAAAATCAAATATCCTAGTTAGACGCAGAGATAAAAAGAAAATAGAAAGAACATTTTCTTTTAAATGTAACTCCATGTGTTTAACACGCCACCTCATCTGAAACAAAGTAATGTATATTCCCATAAACATCAGCAACGCAAACAATAATTTTACTTCTTCAATGTATATCTACCTTGTGCATGCATTGGTTGCCCGGTAATCAGGAGCAATACCATCATCAGGTGATCGATAATCTGTAGCCTTTTGCTCAGCCGACAGCAATCGCTCCACCTACACAGTTTTGAAGCAAGAACATGTGATTTTTATGGCACAAACATTGTAGCATCAATATCTTGTCAAGCATCCAGATCAAATAGGCCATTTGTAGTTAGAGGGGTAATGATGTAGACAGATATCCATTAGTCTTGATAATAAACTCATTTGATGACAACATAAGAGAAACAGCGATCACAGAATGTGTAGTTAAAAAAGGTCACCATACACCAAAAGAGACAATAGACTTGCAACACACCACAACTGACCTCAGCCATCACAGTTTCGATGCATTGTTGTAATCCTCTGTAAGCAGCGGCCTCTGCTTTGGACATTGCTGTTGCCATTTCTTCACAGGCAGCAGCATGTGCTCCATCCACAGGAAGCAAAAGCCGAGATATGGAGTTTGCAAAATACTGTCAAAAAGTAATCAGTTTAGTTTTTTAGTTACAAAATATTGGCAAAGTTAGATCAAGGCTCCCCATCATACTTGTTGAACAATAGCCACACTGCTGACAGAACATTGTACAGCAACCATGAAGGATTTGAAACTGCTTTCACCAGCAGCAGCGGCAGCCTCTGCCTGCATATCAGTAATTAATGTTTTGTTTTGAATTAAAAAATGTCAAAGTTAATATTGTCTAAACACCAAATTTAACGCAGACAACTTAAACCAAAATCTCACAAAAATTTATTGAAATTACGTTAGAAGTTGAACCAGCAGCTACTCTTCGGCCAACACCCAGCAAAAATCTTTCCCTCAAATTAGCAGCTTCAGTCAGGACCTCTCTAGCACGCTCAAGCCCATCTACAATGTATTTACTGACCTGTATAATGCAAAAGTAACAGCCCTTACAACTGGCTCCAATTGGCAAAGTATATCTGAATCACGAATGTTAAAAATAATATCTTACTTGGTCCAGCAGGCAAGCAAACACTGCTTTTACATTGGTTGCAAGGATGGCTGGCTGGACAAGAACAAGAAGTTAGCAGCGCATAACAGAAATTAAAACATCATATTCATATTGAAATATTACCCTTTCATCACCTCAAATTGTTCATGCATCAGATGCACATAAGAGATATCATATAATTGGCTAAGCAATGCAAAAGTATTTTTATTACAAAAAATAAGTTTTTGAAAACAAGGAAGTTTGCTTCCTTGATTATGGATTATGAAAAAGATTCTTACATAGAAAATAAGGAAAGAATGCAAGTAAAAATATTTAGATTTTCAGAGAAGTGCACTGGATTATTTTCTTGGTAATCCCACTTTGCCAAAAACATAAATAGGTTAATATAAGCTGAGATTCCAGAGACAATCTCCTAAGATTCTAGATAACTGTGTATCTAAAATTAGAAGATAATATCACCTAACTAAAGGAGAAAAATACAGAATGATAAAGCAGACTAAACTAAATAAACAAGGACAAATAAAATACGAAAACATGTACGGAAATTGATGAGCAGTTGCATATTCATATAATTTGAAACCATCCCAGGTAGTTTCAAGACATTCCAATTGGTGGCTCCAAATTCAAGTTACCTCTTCTTGTTGCAGCGTTTGGGGGGAGAAAATGGGCATGTAAAGAACCAGAGATACAATGGGCTTGTACCAGAAGAGGTTGCAGACAATATTATGGGGCGCCAATGCTTTTCCAATAGCAAAAGTAAGTTATTACCTGAGAAGAAAAGAGGCTGCACCTTGAAATTGCTTCTTCATTCCAACGCACAAACTCTGACACAATTGTGGCAGATATTTGCGGTGGAGGAGAAGCAATTGAAGCTCCTTTTGAGCGTCCAATTGTTCCAGGTGAATCAGATATCAGCTGGCTTTCAGCTCGCAGTTCTTCCATCTGCATTGCATCGTCCCAACTAAAACATTTAGCAATCGAATCCAAAACCAATGGAAGGGGAATATTGAAAAGAAACGCAAACCTTCACTTGATGCAATTGGTTAAGAGACGCCTGCTCATAGTCGGGGCATTCATCCTTATGATTTGAAAACAAGGATTCTGTGAGGCCTGAACCATAGAAGAATTTTAAGAGTGCATGAGATCACAGAATAAGTTACTTATATCTGAAAAATGTTACCTTCAAATCCATAAATTTCTAATAACTTTAAGCCATAGCTGAAATTCGTAATTCAGAGCAATGAAAAAATAATTTAATTTAAATAAATTAAGCAAGTAAATGTCGAGGATCACACAACCATTGCAGCATACCATACTGCAGGCCGACAACCACCCATAACATGCCTAAACCATGAAATAACATGGGTGACATGCCCAGGCTAAAAAGAGTTTTCCAGATATTACCACAAATGAATAGACAATATGTCATGTTTAAAATAATTTCTTCTGAGAGATTCACCAAAATGAAGAAATTCAGGCAAAAGGAACTAGCTGCAAGTGAACTTAAATCGTTACCCTCAACATCCAAGTCTCCAGATCCCACGGCTTGTAGATCCCTAGCAAGTTCTTGCGTCTTTTCATATGTTACTGCTAGAATTCTGAGATACTGAAGCCTCAAGTTAGGTACAAATAACATCAATATCAACTTACTATCTAATTTGACATTTGGGCAACAACAACGAAGGTGGTGAGATAGTAGCACTCACTAATAGAAGTCCACCTTCCTCCATTGAAGGTGGATTTACAAGAGTTGGCCTTACTAATAACTTGTCCAAAAGGGCAGTGACTCGCTGCTCTAGAACCCGCTACATGGAGAATTACCAGAAAAAGAATAAAAATAATGGTTATGACAATACACCAACACAAATGGCCTCTTTAAAGCCATGTTATCAGGGGAAGACCATATCCTTTGGTACCTGAACTAAAATTGACATAACCTCATTAGGTGAAGGGAATACAGCTGTGATTTTTGCTGCTTCTTTGCGAACAGTATCTGAAACAATTCAGCACGCTATTACCGATTCCATGATGAACTAAGCATTTCACTAATAAGTCATTATATTTAAAACATTCAAACCTGTGATTTCTTTGTACAATTTTGAAAGCCCTTTAGCAACATTACCGGGACTAGCGTGTGTGCCATCATCACCAAGAACCAATCTAGTATCAGCATTCATGACTTCCACATCAATAAACATTGGACGTGTTGCTACATAATGTTGCATGGCACTTGTACCCCTATTGAACTGCATTGCAAAACAGGTATTTGACACAAATGAACACCTCCCCCAATAATTTAACTGCTACATTATTTTCTAGTATAATGTAATCAGCAGAGGGGTAGTTAGTGAGTTAGTTGGTTAGTTAAAACCAACGACAATTTAAATGTAACAGGTTGAAGAGGTCAAGTAAATCTTGGTAGTCAAATGAAGTTCATTTTTCTTCTTCTTTCTATTTCCTTCTTTCTCCTTCCTCTTCTGCCGTTGACTTTATCCTACATGCTCAAGCTTCTGACTTTCCAATCTCCACTCCATCAACCACAGGAACAGTGACCAGTGCACATGTAATAGAATAGCTGGGATAACAACTCCTGGATTTGTGTCAAACATATCTCATGCATATCTTTCATTTTCTTCTCCAACTCATTTTAGGAATGAAACTCATTTATGGTCTTCAAAGGACCATTGGGTTGGAGTCTCCTCTTTTACAGAACTTATTGTTTATTAACTCTACTCCATACCATGATTTCAGATTTATCTTATTTGTATGCATCATGGGATTCTCATTTTTCTTGGAACTTCTAGTTTTCTCGAAATCTTAAAGATGGAGCTGTAGATGACCTTGCTTTGTTATTTAATATGTTGGGCTCTCTCAGAGTTTCTACTTTGCCAGATAAAAGGATCTGGCCATCAGGTTCTGGGATTTATAAATTTCTGATCCTGAAGGGTTAGCCCCACCCACTACTACCGGAATTTACAACAGTAGATAAGAAGAGAAAAGGGGAGGTGAAGCTGGGACTGCTGGTTTAATAGAAGCTTCAAGTGCATACACTGAAAGAACCAGAGGAGCTGAGAGACAAAGAGTAGTTTCATAAGGGATAAGTAGAAGAGACAGCAGAGAGCCGTTGGAAGTGTATTAAGGGGGTGACTGACCTGAGGAGAGACAGGGAGCTTCTAGGAGGAAAGTTAGGCAGAAAGCTAGACTCTCAAAAACTAGGACTTGGTCTTTGTCCTTTGTTTTGTATTTGTGTATGAACTGTTTTGTTTGTGCAGTACTCTGAGTAGCTGTGATTTTTATGGAGCTTCTTTGTTGCTGCTATGAGCTGTCGCGTGTTTGCATGAGCTTGAGTGGGTAACTCTTGTCTAATGAAGTGATTGTTTTCCATTGTACATATCAGTAGCATTTGGATTTTCAGTATTGCTCTTGGGGTACACATTGTCAAGGGGGCCTATATATAGCCTGTTCGCTTATGATGCTGTAATTTACTCACGGATCAGTGCCACTACCATCCATATAAGATTGTACCATGAGATCAAGTAAAAAGGCTTCAACAAGGGTGATTTCTGAGAAGCCATTCGTTCTATTAATTAAATTGCAATTAAACTCAGCCCAATCTTCTACTAAAAATATAGAAATGAGTGGGAGAAGAAGGACAAAGAAATGTGTAAGTAGGCAGAACACAGCTTAATTGCCTGTGACAAAATTTTGGCACATTCAGACATTGTGGACAAATCTCTTTTCTGCGATGCTGCATCAAACCGAGCAAGCAATCTATTCTCCAATTCTGCAGAAATAGAAAAATAAATAAGACACACTTTACCATGAAAACCAAAGTTTAATATATGGTATGGCCCAATACATTTTTGTCTTGAACTATTGTCTAGGTTGTAACAGTTAAACTTAAAAGCATATAATTAAGGCAAATCTGTTTGTTTTTATCTTCTTATAAATAATAAGAAAGGTAAAGGTGCGTCAAGCACCTTGATCTTAATTTTTTAGTACATCTAGTACCCTAATCTTATTTATAGTACATCCAACACCCTAAAGATTAGGGTGTTGGATGGAAATAAAAAAGTAACACTGGGTTTTGGAGACACCAAGGAAATAAGACCAGGATACTAGATGCACTATAAATAAGGTCAAGAAGCTAAATGCACCTTCACCCTTAGAAGAAACAAAATTCATCGTGAGGGCCTATGTAATGGGCTAAGGTAGGATATAGCTGACGTCAAATAATGTCGGTCAAGTCATTGGGTTAAATCATCCAATCAGAAGAAAAAAGGGAATCGACAACAAATAAAATTTTAAATGAATAAATTGACAACAAATAGCGTTTTTATCTTCTTAAATTAAGGATCCTCTTCATTCTTTTTATTTGTAATCAGGGCAGTTGTATTATCTAATATCAATCAGACATATCTATCCAAGTTTTTGTCAAATTACCAACCATTGCAATACTCTTGCAGATTAGTAACAGCAAATTCTAATCCTTTGCTTGCAGTAGCGTTTCCTATCATTGATGGGGCACCTATGCCGCGTCCTCCAATATCTTCTTCAGCAAATGACCCTGAAGATGATCATAATTAGCAGAGTCTATGAAAAATGGGAAAATCTTTACAATCAAGATCCTGTAAATTGTCTGCGTAAACTTCTCATGTAGTTGGAGAGAGACAGATAGATAAAGGTGTGTAGCCAATATTTAAAAGAGTAGCTTATAGTGAGGCTTTGCATGCAGTTCTCTAACTTTACATGATAGATCTAAACATCAGAGGATTGGAAGTTAAAAGTTTTTTTTTTTTTTTAAAAAGGAAGAAGAAGAAGAAGAAGAAGTTAATCTTACGTAATTTTTGGGCAACCGAAGCAGCCTCAGCAGTACGGCTCTCATCAGAAAATAGAGGAGAAAGCTTTATTAGGTCGCCTGGGCTGCTGTTGAACTCCATCAAGTACTGCAAAGAGAAGAAATTATATCAATAAAAAAAAATTGATTCCCCCAACATATATAAACCAGATCGCCTGACTGGTTATACCTTTATCAGCTCAATTGTTTGACTGGCAGTAACCCTCTGAGCATCTGCACTCTGCCAAGTCAAAAGAGTATCAGACAGATACTATATTTCGTAGAAAAAGCATGCCTGACCTACTACCTATACAAGCAAATATGTGATCATCAACTATTTGCAAAATGAATACTAAAACAATAACAAGAAGCCTAATCCCATTAAATGAGATTAGCTATATGGATTGCATAGCGCCATTAGACTCTATCAACAACTTCACATATATTGTCCATTTGCAAAATGAATAAAGCTTTTAAAATTCTACCTGAAGTTGATCTCCTATCTTTGCAGCAGTCTGGCCAACACTTGAAATACGTGAATCCAACCTAGCAAAGCTATCAAACAAACCATCTACACCTGTTTCTAGCTGAAAGGAGTATAAAGACATATGAGATTAAAAATTACAATTGGACGCATCAGATTCAATAAAGGAAGTAAGACACCCCTCAGGACAAGAAAAATAATAATGAAAACGTCAAAAAAGGAGTTAGTTGATATTAAAAGAGAAGTAGCCCAATATCAGTGACATCATCATATTTTTGCTATATCTAAGGTGTACAAGAAGACTTCTTTATTTTCTTGACTCAAAGCAACTAGGATACCATGCAATGCTTGAAAATTTTAGTTGGATGAGCCGTATAGCAGACTAACCTCAGCAAGTGTCTTACGGTGCTTAGTGTCTTGGACAGAGACATCTTTCTTGAGATTGTCGAGTCTGCCATCAATCTTCTCATATCGAAGCAAAAAAGAAGATTAACACATCAACATGCAACTCATTAAGTTCTAGGAAAGTCAGAGAGGAACCTGTTTGTGAAGCTCGGCCAGCTCCTCACAAGAGTCCTTAAACAAAGATAAGAGCTTCTCAACATCTGGGAATAAGGGAGTAGAAGGAGCTTGAGCATACTTTGCTGCATCAGATGAAGCCCGCCTATGTCCATTTGAAAAAGAATCAACCCCAATGACGTTGCTGTGTCCTTCTGATGAATCTACTGCTTCTTCTTGGAAAGATGGAAGGAGCTCTTTCACCATATTTCCAAATAACGCATCAAAAGAAAAGTCCCCCTATATGCACCAGGTTTAAGATGATTCACCAAATCACAAAAGAATATATTTGCATTACATGGTTTCAACATCTACCTTAAAGTCATCAATGTCCATAATAAGGGGGAACGAGTTAGCTGATGTAGATTTCGAACTTCTTTCATTCTTCGTTCCACCTCTCGCCTCCCTCATCTCCCTTACATAGCATCAATCAACATAAATATTAAGGTTAGGTGATTCATTAGAATACACTGTCATAAGAAATTGCAATAATAAAACACAAATGCAATTGAAGCCCCACTTTTAGCTGAATTCCAATTTCACAGACAGAGAATTAGATAAACTCACGTGAAACTGAGGTATGATTAATCAGAATTGCAAGGAGGTGATCAAGTTTTGGTAGCTGCTCCAGATACACGCCACGTGGCGAGAGAGTGGCAGGTTGTGGAGGGGAAAGAGAAAGGCGATGTGAACAAGGCAAAAGGGAGAGGCCGGTTCAAGAGGAACGGGAAAGTGATAAGGCCGGAGCGCGAGTGTTGGGTCGACCCGTCGGCGCCGTGGAAGCTGGTTCAGGAAATGTCGGAGATCGAAACCGTGTTCTCCGCGAAACCGTCGAGTCTATCGCGTCGCAGTTCGCTCTTGCTGTCCAATGCTGACGGCCATGAAGGTAAATTTACAGAAGTAATTAATCTCGAGTTAAGAATTTCACTGTCATTGTAATATTAAAAAGTTAATTTTAAAATTTAAAATATTCAAACATAAGAAGAAACCAAAAGCTATAAACATAAAAAGTTAATTTAACTTTTAATGTTGGAACTTTTAACAATGTCTGATCACAAAAGTCGTAAGACCCATTTCGAATCAGCACGAAAAACAGACATAATCTGAAAAACGAAAATCAAGCAATTGGTTGAGGGGGTGTACGAAATCGCTCATAGATGACACCAAATCCCACTCACCACCAGAATCCAAGAAGAATGTTAGCGGCAGCTTATGAGGAAGCGATTGGCGGAGAGACGCGATAAGACAGTGCGTTTGATTTGAAGAGAAGATTGGAGAAGAAGAGACGATCGAAAATGGGAGTGTGCGAGAGCTACCCCTTGAAACTCTGAACTAATTTCCCTCCTTTCCCTCTGCGGAGAAGAGAATGGATTCACTGTGTGGTGTCTGTGGAGCAATCTCTACTGGTGATTAGAGGGAATGATCTGAACGGCTGGGATTACTCCCGTGAGCCCAAATGGTCCTTTTAACCTGAGCTAATGAGAGTATCCCCTATGACACTTGTAACAACTAAACAAGAAATTATTTCTCTACGTATAGTATTCCAATTTATTTTATTTTCTAAATTTATAATTTTTCTTAACTATTCATATGTTCATTGTATACATCAAAAAGAATTTCTATCATAGTTAATTTTATTGTGTATGATTAAAAAAATATTTAAGAAAACCCAACATAATTTGTAATAAATAATTAGTTTAATATAATTTTTGATCTTTCAAATTTGTTTTTATTTTGATTTTAGTTTCTTAAATTTTGAACCATAGATTTTAATCCTTTAAGTTTTTTATTTTAAATTAATGATTTCTATAACTCAATAAAAATCTAAATCATTTTAGCTTTTAAGGGATTAAAATCTATAATTTAAAATTTAAGAACTTAAAACCAAAATAAAGGTAAATTTGATAGACTAAAAATTATTAACCCTAAATAATTAAGTGAACTAATTTTTTTAATATTTATAAATTATTGTTTAACTTTTATATTAAATACTAAAAGTGAATTTGAGAGATAATTTGAATCTTAATTGCTCCCTAATTACCATAAAAATCCAAAACAAGAACATAATTGGAGCTCGTTACAACCAGTCCAAGTTTCTTTTGATTCTTAGTAGTTTGAAGCAGAAATGATAACCCACATAGGAGCCTAATCTCAACGACAATTTCGTTTTTATCATCATATTATCACCTAAGATTTCTAAAGCCTCTTCTCTTTAAATAAATTCTTCATCGTTAGAATAATTAATAAAAATTCAGAATTCTTCAAATCGAAAATTTACGAAGTTTGGGATTTTGGCCGTAAATTGCCCTTTCTCTTTCCCACTAACATAACTTCCTTCCCGCTTTGCGAAATTTGGCGAGCGAGGCTTTTCCAAATTTTCAAATTTCATTTCACTCCATTTTCCCTGCTTTATAATTTGACGAAAGAGAATGGAGAAGTACCCCCAAGATTGAACGTCAGCCAGAAATGGGCGACTGTGATGGAGGGGACTTTGCCGGAACCATTTGCTCAATCTGCTACGAAGTTCTTAAGCCCATTACCGAAGACCTCCAATCCATCAATATCTGCGGCCATGTCTTCCACGAGCTCTGGTCAATCTCATAATCCTCTTCCTCGAACTAATACCCATTTTGTCGTGCTGTATTGTCCCTATTGCATCATTTTTCAACATCTATGTAACTATCGGTGATTTCCATGCGCTAATCGAATATCGCATTGTGAACCTTTCGGTTTTTTTTTTTTGGGTTATTTATTCCACTATTTAATTTAATTTTGCTTCTCTTGTAGTTTGCAGCAATGGTTCGAGTACTGTTCAACGGCAAAGAAATGCACTTGCCCTGTGTGCAAGCAGAGTTGTAAAGCAAGCGATGTTGCTCGGCTGTATTTCCAGTCTCTCGGAGACGTGAAGGATGCTGTTCTTCCTGAGAAACTCATTGGGTCTGAGGAGGAAGATGCGGGGGTTTTGCGTAGAGAAGTGAAAATGTTGGCATTGAAAGTTTCGGGGCTTAGTTCAAAATTGGAGCAGCAGGGGAAGAAATTGGGAGATGTTACCGATGAGGTGGTCTGATTTGCTTTTCCGTTATTGATAACTGTTGTTCTGAATGATGGAAATTTGATTGCTGATCAGCTCTAGATGGAAATATATTGGAAAAAAATAATGTGCTATAGGTAAAAACAGTATTCTTGGCTAGCTATGTGTAAAGTTGATTGGCCGCTGCTAACGAAATGGTTACTAGTTAATCAGCAATAACTTGTACAGAAATTCAAGGTTCATGCTCTCTCCTGACTTTTATATTAAGCTAAATATCAAGAAAACATTGAAAACTCGATAATTCGATGGGAGGAAATTTGAGTTTAATTGGTTGAGCGTATTTGGATGGAAAAATACCATCACATGAAAACCCTGTTGCTTATGATTTTCATCAAATTTATTCTCAATCAGATTATTTATTAGTTGAGTGACAACAATAATCTCTGCTGAATGCAGTCAGGGAAACTTCTTTGGTGTCACCAAATATTTCCGCAAAAGTTCTTGCTCTCCTTTCTAATCATAATGATCACTTTTAGCTCTTAAACATTCTTTCAGCTTTGCGCTTGCAAGGAACAAGCAAAATTAGATGCAGAACTAAAAAACGACGCGTTGAAACAAAGAGCATTCATACAAAACCAGCTTCTTATGAAATCAGAGGTAAATTACCCTATGTGCGTTGTCTTATTTCCAATAATCTCGCTGTTTAGATTGAGTTAACATATAATGTTTTGTTGGATGTGTAGGAGCTTGAAAAGTCAACTTTGGAGTGTTCGAGATTACAAGATAGAAATATGGCACTGGCTAAAGAACTCGTGGCATTCAAATTGTGAGTGGAGTTGCTCCAAGCAAAAGACAGTTACCCTTGTTTCTTTTCTTTCCTTTTGCTTTATTTTTAAACTTTTTTTGTGGCATGCATTGCAGAGTAGTAGATCCCAACCTTGACGAGGATGAGGTTTTGAAGCTTGCCACTTTGGGCAATGGTGCCAACAGCAAAGATACGATTGACACATTACGAAGATCTTTGGTCATGCGGAACAGGTTTATTAATTTGACAATAATAAAGAGGCTTTGAAGGGCCTTTTGCCTTTTATCTTAATATCTTGCATGCTACAAGCATAGAATTGGTAGTTTCCCCTTAATGTTGTACTTCATAGCTTATGCCATGCCCCGGAAGATAGCTTGAAATTGCGTTGTCTTAATAGGAGTTACAAAGAATTAATGACCAAGTGCAATATTCTGGGAAGAGCGGAGGCACGTTATAGTAGAAAGCTTGAGAAGGCTAAAGAGAAAGTAAAGAAACTGAAGGTACCACTTGATGCTTATTATCTCATTGTTAACACATTTCTGTGGGTCCTAAATCTTATCTTTGTGGGCATTGGCAGGAAAGGATACAAGAACTGGAAACAGCAGCTGAAGTAAAAGAGAATGAGATCCTAAGGTCTCTGAAAGTTTCAAAGAAAGCAGGTTGCTTAAAGAATCTTGAAAACAATAGCAGTTATAATTCTGATCTATTGTCAGCAGATAAAATTTCATCAAAGGAAAACGGGAAGCAAATTTTGACACCCCATTCCAGAGCTGATCTCTCTGCGAACGTCAACAATAACGTGACGCAATCTGCAAGGATGGAGGACATCGATTGTAAGCAAATTAGAGAAAATAAAGATGTGAATTTCAGCAAAGAAAATTCAACTTGGATGTCTCTTAATGGAGAGGAAAATTACATCTCACTTGATGAAGACGATTCAGAATTTGCTAAAGCTTTGCCAGGATCTGCAAAATACAACGGTAATGACCATGACAGTGATAGTGTTGCTCTTAGGAAACCCATAGCAAAGTCAGAGGCAGCTTCTATTGTAGCGAGAGAAACCGCAATGCAAGAAGACAACCGGGCGGAGCCTTTAAGAGTTGACGTTAACAATGAATTTGGTAAAAATACTGCTGGTACTATGCCTGAAGACGTGACATTGCCAGACAATGTGAAACAAGTTCAGACCATTGTTAATATTCGAAAAGAAAATCTATCTCCACTGCCACTTTCCAGTCCAGGTGTGCTGCTAGTTGTCAAAAGGGTTCCATTCTAAAGGTAGCTTTTGTGGAAGAAAGATTAAAAAAAAAAAAATGACCTCTTTCTTCTTGACTTCCAGGTGATATTTGTTTTTCTGGCGGCTTACTTGGTCCTGATGGAACTAATCGATACTTGGGGAGATGGTGCAAGCGTGGACAGAAAAACGAATCAGTCACTCCAAAAGCTTCGATCAGTGGTGATTTGATAGCCGTAGGGGCTGATGGTAGAGGTGGTAAAGTTAAAGTTCTGAGATCTCCAAACCAAACCTTCCAGGTGGGTTCACCACATTCATTAAATTCTTTCTGGCCCATATGTATCATTGTTTATTGGATCATTATTTTTGCAATTTTCATAAAACTACATTTACCCAGTGAAATTGCTGGTCGCCTTCTGTATTTTTGTTACCTATGCAATAGTATGCTTGGTTGAAACGTGAGTTCTTTATTATACTTTTGGGGTGTTGTTATTCTGATAAACTGAACTCGCAAAAAGTTTGATAATTGCATCTCTTAACCTTTTTTAATCAGTTCTGTATGCAACGGAACGTTCATTGTTTGGTTCAAATGATTTGGGACCCCTTATCCAGGGAAAACAATTGAATTTGGTGGGCTAAAAAGCCAACCGAATAAAATCAATCAAATTGAACATGACGGAATCAATTTAATGCAAGCTTGATCGATTGGGATTTGCATCAGATGGTTCAAATTCTGGCAAGAAGAATGGATTAACTGATTGAGCTTATTTCTTCAATTGCAGGACTGTAAGGAGAATTCAATAGGTTCAAAAAGATTGAAATTCGGACCTAAAGCAAATAGCATGCAGTCCCAGGGGTGCCTGCAGATAGAACACTTCTTTGGGAGGATCAGTCACTAATTTATCGATCTTTGTCTTGGCCTTGACTTGTGATGTGCTTTTTCTAACCGAGAAGTGCAGAGGTTCCATCTATTAGTTGCTACATGCACTGCCTCAAGAAAATTCATGGACGACGAAAAGACTCGTTTCCTCACCTTGGAAAATTTTGACCGATGCACAAAGTGGCTTCTTTTTCTATCACTTGGGCTTGATTCTGGTTCTTTTCTGCAAAAAAGAGGTGGAAGCATGTAACTTAAATGAGCCCTGTTTTGCCTTATAGAAACCATAACGGCATTCTTGATATCTTATTGTGAATGAGAAGATATATTTACCTCCAAGTATTTAAAAACAACTCTAATTTTTCGAATTCATCTCCAACAATGTACACCGACTGAAGTAGAAGAAGCATCCCGTGATTAATGAAACGTCTTATAGACCAGAGTGAGGCCCCAACCAAATAATGTATATTTAAATCACCATATATACGGTTTACTAATGAAGGATGTAAAAGGTGAACAACCCGAGAAATCTTTAAGCTGAAGTTCTTTCTTCACGGAGTGGGTAAAGAAAATTGCCAATGCTCGTGCATTGCACAACATCGTTGGCTCTTTCAAAAGGTGCAATTAGACAACTGTTTACTAAAAGGATTAAAATTTAAAAGGATTTTTTTTTTTGGCCATCTAAAAGGATGTTTATAAATTAGATGCATTTTCTTATATATCATATAAATTGAATTTTATTTAATGATTTATAAATGGTTGGTATTTATTTTATATTATGTATTCATAATTCATGTAACCTTGCTCCTAGTCTTTAATATGTCTTGTTTAGTACGAAACATGAAAAATAAAAGGTAAGAATTGGGATTGAGATTAAAAAAATACATTAAAAAAATATTTAGTATGAGTAATCGATATGTGGGATTGGAGAATGCTATGAGGAGATATGGCATTCTTTAATCCCACCTACATGGAATTATATAATTCCATATAATAAGAAATTGCTTATATTACATACTCTTAAATGATATTTCTCAAACCCAATTTTAATTTTTACCTTTCATTTTCAATGTTTGGTAGCAAACCAAAAGTATGAAAGATTGGTCTCTGAACAAGTTACGCATCCTATACTTCTTCTCAATTGATAACATAACATTGCTTCCCCTACAAAAATACTGTTTACAGCAAAAATTTAGATATAATTTAATATTCCCTCAATCCTCAATATAAGACCCATTTTATAGTGTAATCAATTAGATTATAAAATGGATCTTATATTTAAGACCAAAAAAGTATAATAAATGTTAGTTGGTACAACAAAATATAACGAGCTACCTTTGTTTTTTCCTGTCGTCCCGAGATCGTGTCTGTAAAAAAAATGTTTGCTTTAGCAGTTATGTTTCTATTGAGAACTTGTAACGTACATAGTCACCAAATTTGAAGCATGTTGACTTGGATATATCATAATTGACTTCGAATTATTTTTTAATAATATTATGTATCTATATTCAATATTAAAATTTTGTTTGACTTTTGAAATTGATGAGCGGATTGCGTTATTTTATTTTATTAGAATACAAGACGACACTGTCTACTTTCGAACTAAGAGACCAAATTAACTTAAACATTTTTTTTATAAAATTAGAAAGACAAGACATTTATACAACTTAAAAATTATTCTTAAAAATTTCCAAAATACAATGGCTTCTTCCCCACACTATAGAGTTTGGGATGGGTTCATCCCGCCTTTCCAAACAAGGCCGACGAATGTCTGTCTTCCAATGATTAGTGCAAAATCACCAAAAATTTTTTGGCTGCCAATGGTGCATTTTTTAAGCCTTGCTACTTGCTAGAGTACAATAATTAATAAATTATAGCCATCTTGGGTTTGAATGTCAAAATAATAATTTGTATTTTGAGCAACTTTACTCTGATCAATCACCCAATCATGCATCATCCCTTGAATAAATTAAAGCAACCTGTAATAAATATAACGTGGAAAACCGGAAGTATTCAATACAATAAAATTCCAATTTTTTTAAAAAAAAAGAAAGAAAATCAACAAGTTGCTATATTGTTTATCTTGTGTCTGATTTATATCCCTGTTATGTCTTTCTATTATATTTGAATAATATATTTTGCTGACTTAATTTGCTGTTTTTCTATTGTCATTCATTTTTTTGCTTTTTAAAGAAACTAAGGTTGCGTTTAAGGCTGACTTACTATTGTCAAGAAATTTTATAGTGCATGTCTCGTTTTCTTTCCAAGATTATTGGCAGTGGGTTCTGATCTCGTTTTCAGTTTTTTTTAAAAAGAAAAATTGTTGATCTATGTGGTTTACATAAGAACAGTGTTTCTTTATTATAAGGAAATTCCCATTGATATAGGTATCATCTTTTTCCCTTAAAGAAAGTGAAGGCTGACTTCAGAGTCAATACTTTTTCTAACCATTAACTTAATTTCTGATTGATTCTCAGAAGAAACACATTATTAAAAACAGCTGAATAATTTGAAGGGGATATTCTGATATCACCAAGATACATATGCTTAAAACAAAAATGCCAGATAAACAAAAGGGCCACGTTGCATGTGGGCATCTCTGTTCCGTGAACACATTCAAATAATTATAGTTAATTGTTATCATTGAAGCAATTCAATTTGCAGTAACAAACTGAAAGAGGCAAAATGATTTGATTTGTTGTGTGCATGATAAATCTGATCAAGTGGCCTTCACAAGAGGTGAGTGATGAATTGGTGAGTGTGGGGACATTCTGTGACGTGACATTACAGTTTCATCAAATCTTCTTGTGGAGAAGCTTCCCCTCATGCTCACACTGTGCCTGCGTTTCATCTTCTTTGCTGCTTTCTTCTCTGTTTCTCTTCCCACAAATGCTCTGATTCTTCTCAATGCTTCTTTCACTGTTTCATCATCCATGTTGGCGAAGCAAACCCTAAACCACCCTGGTTCTCTGCAGCTAAAAGATGAACCAGGAGATACATTCAGTTTCACTTCATTCACTATCACATTCCACAACATCATTTCGCCTTCCAGTGTTTGTTCTTTTAACAGATTTCTCAAGCTCATCCAACAGAACAGCCCCGCATTGCTTGGAAGGCAAGTAATCCCCATCTTCTCAAGTCCCCCTGTGAACAAACTGTGCCTCCCTGCCAACCTTCTGGAACTCTCTGCCAGAAACTTATCGACAAAATCATTATCTAAAAGCATTGCAGCCAGCATGTGCTGGGTCTGTGAGGACACCAACCCAAAGCTTGACATTTTGCGGCCACAGCTAACGACAGTGTCGTTGTATGAATAAACAATCCCAACTCTGAAACCAGGAAGGCCTAAGTCCTTTGACAAACTATAAACTATGTGGATGAGGTCTTTGTTACAGGATTCCATATCTTGGATGACCTCAGAGACACTTATGAAGCTGGAGGGATTGAACACAGTGGCTGCATAGATTTCATCACACACTAAATGTATGTTCTTTTCATTGATGAAGTTGACAAGGCTTTTCAGGGTTTCTTTGTCTAAAGTGGTGCCCAGAGGGTTTGATGGGTTCGTTATGAGCAAGCCCTTCACGTTGAGGTTTTCTTCTTGGGCTTTCTTGTAGGCTTCTTCAAGGGCTGATCTGGTTATCTTGAAATTGTTGGAGCTGTCACAGTGGACTGGAACTATTTGTGCCCTAGTTCGCCAACACAAATCACGTACAAATCTGCAGTACAGCATGAAGTATTTATGAGCAATTATATCATCCTCAAGTCATGACAGGCCCACTCAACACAGTAAACATAAATATTTAGCCATAATTAGTAACTCTGTTAAACTCTCAAGTCTCTTCTCTCGACACAGCCAAGTTGGCCGGTAACTAAGTTAAGATGAGAGAAAAAGAGATGAAAAAGTAGAGCCCACCAATCTGAGACCTACAGAGATGAAGTAGATAGATCTCACTTCTCCATATCTGTCTCTTCAATTAAAGTGGTCCTACCTAATTACGGAATCTTCTACGTTCCGATATCATGCATTAAGACAAGGTACATGAAAGAACAGAACCGTACATGTGTGTGTATGAACTGTATTTTTCAATCGTACCCTGCTACTTTATTTTCTCTCTCTCCAATTATGTTACTGAAGGGTCATATTTTTCATTATATTTGTGTGTGCATATATATTCACTTTGTCAATATTAGGACGGAGAGGGGATATACGCTGGATAATAAGGAGTGGGAAGAAGAAAAGCATCTCCAGGATCAGCCAAACAGAACATGATGAGTTCATTAGCTCCTGTGGCCCCTCCACTCATCACTATACGGTCAGGGTCAAATTTTACTCTACCACCTCTCACTTTTGACATCAGATTTGCCACACCCTGCACAATCACAAAAGGTAACCCATTTTATATAAACTCAGTCAATCAATAAGCTTGAAGTATCTCTGATGAGTAAGCTGTAAGGGCATTAATTTGCATACACGCGCACACACACACCTCTCTGAACTTGGGAAGGCCATGATAGTCCTGAAAGATAGCGATGTCCTTGAAGTGATCAAGTCCCTCATGAGTGCAAATGGAGGCCTCTGGATTATTCCTTATCCACTCTTGTATCAGATCAAAAGAGAGCTGACAGTAAAGAAAATGAAAATAAAACCATATATATGAGTCAGTCAACTCATCAAACACCTGCAAATCATTGTGCTATGCATGCATATATAATGATTTCTGCCGCATGACGTGTGTGTATATAAATATAAACCTGGTTTTCTGCAAGACCCATCTGGAGAACACCGTGAGGATTGTTTTTGGGGTGAAATGGGTCTCTTTCATAAGCCTTCCATCCATCAAAATAAGCAGAGTTCTCTCCATGTCCCTCGTTCATTGCCACCTTTGACAGAAGTTGACGCTTCTCACTTGCCAAACCCATGTTTGAAGTTTGAAGTGTAGCGAAGGGTCTATGTATTTAATTAGGTGTAAGAGTAAGAGAAGAAGGTGATAATAATGAAGATTACTGAAGAAATGTGATGAGTGAATTGCAAGAGAAGCTGGGAATTTATAGGCTGTCGTGTGAGCTATGCACGGTGAAAAGACTGCTTTCAAAGTTGGAGGCTCATGGTGACCGACACTCGATAAGGTAAATAACTCAACAATTTACATTTGTGGTGATGAGCAAACTAATGACAGTGACGATGGTCATATCATCAACATAGTTTGCGTAAGCTTCTTTTATATATATATATATATATATATATATATATATATATAAAACTTGGAATGAGCCACCTATGGATGGAAAAAAAACGGAGATTATCAACTTAAAACTATTTAAACTGTATACTATAT